TTTAAACTGCATCTGTGCATCTAGGCTTGTTCTATTCACACTCATGGCTGATAAAGCCAATATGTAACAGGGACGTTTGCTTGTGTAGGGGACAGTAATAACCTTATCCTTGCATGAAGTTTGTCTTAGAAAGCAACACTTCTCTGTCCTTCTCCACAAATGTTCCAAAGGATGCATATCCATCAATAGTATGAAATATAATGGCCTCTCATTTGCTCTTCTTGTTGGGATTTAATTCACTTACTCCTGCTTCCCCTGTCTGTCCTGGTTGGGGCTGGGATAGAATTCATTTTCTTCCCAGTAGCTGGTATAGTGCTGCGTTTTGGAGTTCGGATGAGAGTAATGTTGATAACACATGGATGTTTTAGTTGTTGCTGAGCAGTGCCAAGGATTTTTCGGCTTCTCAGGTTGCCCTGACAGCAAGCAGATGGAGCAGAGGGATGGACACGGGAAGTTGCAGGAGACACAGTCAGGACTGCTGACCCAAATGGGCTAAAGGGATATTCCATACCATATGACATCATGATCGGCATATAAATTAGGGGGAAAGCTGGCCGGGGGCCTCTGCTCGGGAATGGAATGAGCATCAGTCGGTGGGTGGTGAGGAATTGCACTGTGCATCACTTGTTTTGTTTAGTCTAACTATTATTATCATTATTACTATTATTATCCCTTCCTTTTTTTTTTTCCTATTAAACTGTCTTTATCTCAACCCTACGAATTTTACTTTGTTTTACAGTTCTCTCTCCCCCACTACACTGGAGGTGGGGAGAGTGACCAAATGGCCGTGGGATGTTTAGCTGCCTGCCAGGTTAAGCCACGACACTGTCCTACCTGTCCTGGGCATATAAACCAGCCAGAGTGGCATCTCATCCTTGTTCTTGAACCAGACACAAAGAAGAGTACAGAAAGTTTCTCACTGCGTCATCAGAACCAGACACTACCAATCCAAACTTTAGCAACTTTTAAGGAAAACGGCAGTCGATTTCTCCTGCTGCTAGCTTTAGTTAATAGGCAAAGCATCTCTTCTTATTTAAAAGAGCTTCTTCTGCATTACACCACATAGTTGAATAACACAGTCTAGAATTACTTGGCTGTTTCATGCTGTGGTTTAATGCTAGCAACAGTATATTGCAGTACTTATAACGCAACACTAGATGGCATTGCTAGTCTTTACATTTTTCATCTGCAACCGTTGGGGCTCTTGGAGTTTAATGATAGGAATTACCTTTTTTTCTTCTTTAATCATACATGGTGTGGATCCAAATCCGCTCTTGAGCTATGGTTTCATAACTCTTCACTCTTCATTCTGTATATTTTTTTTTTTAGGGAAAAAAAAAAAAGGTAAATAGTTTTTTTTTTTAATTATTTCTGTTTTTTTAGGAGTGAGAGAGCAATCCCAGAAAAGACAAGAGAATACATATATTAAAAACAACACAATGGTCTAACAACTACATGTCAGTCCTATGTAATTTATTTCTTACTCTCTAATTGGTTCTTAGTTATTTTCCCAGTCTCTCACTTAGCAAGCATGAATTCGCCTTTCAATATTTTTTATTAAAGGCCAATTTTAAGAATTTCTCTGAATTCTGATGCAAAATATAGTATGTAGGATCCTTGATGAGGTTAGAAGGGGTTTCAGAGAGAAAGTTTATCTTTGTTCCGTTTCTTTTACAATCCAATGATTGCAAAGTCATCTGAAAGTCTTTCACTCAATGCAAAAAGGCATATCCTTGACTATTTTTAATGCTCAAACAAAGAGAAAGTGGAAATTTAGAGGTCCAATGTAGCATGACATAACAAAAAAAGTATTTCTGGAAGAAAATTTTTGTTTTCTTAAAACAACATTTTAGGTGGGACAGTCATTTCTAGTATGGTATTTGCTACTGAGTTCCAAAGTTACTATTAGATTTTCTTTCAGCACACTTTAATGCAAGGAAATTATAATAAAAATTTACAGAATAAATTGTTTTATTTACAGAAAATTAGTTAAAATACTTTCAGAACCCAAAGCTACTGAAATTTCATTAGTTACTAGGTGAGGCAATAGACAGGATAATAAATAATGTACATGTTTCATTGGGTTCCAGATGTCTTTGCATTTGCCCTATGGATCTCTCTGAGGACATACTGGGACTTAAAAATCACCTTCTATTAATCTTATTTTTATGTTAACCAGAATTCTATAATCAAGAGTCATTACTGTAAGTTACCAACTGAAAGCGAATGGCAGTGTGTTCTTTCTTTTGCTCACTAAAAACTGGTAAATGTAGTTGATTATTTACATATGTAGCAAATACAGGAACAAAACTTAAAAGTTAAGAACAGTCTTGTTGAACAGGTTGAAGCCTTTATTCTCCTTTACCCACTTAAGTTCAGTACCTACCTTAATCAACAATAGCAGGTTTATTTTACACTTGCACTAACCGCCAAATAAATATTTTAAAATTAAGGTCTTGTCAGGTCTTTATTATTTTTTTACTCTTAAATGGTATAGACACCAAGCTTCCTTCAGCTGAACTTGTAAGAATACTGCTGCCACGTTGCAAGGATGAGCAGATGAATATAGATTTGTTCTTTTTAAACCTTTAAATCAGTGCAACATTTACCTGTTCCTTAATTATTATTATTATTCAAATAATATTCTGATACATTTTTTTTTCAGTCTGAAGTGGCATGAATCTGATTTGTAAAGATTGAAAGTTTATTTTGAAACCTTTCTGTCCTTCATTGGTCATAAAAGGATGGAATTAAAGTTGTTTCTATATTTGAATTACCTATTCACCTACATAAGCAGTATTTTTTGTTGTTTTGGTTTTGGCTTGGATTTTTTTTTTTTTTTTTTTGCAAAGGCAAATTAAAAAAAAAAAATCGCTATTTTAATAATATGTTTTATGTTAATAAATTGCCCCTATGTCATTTTGGGTTATTTAGCTTTGCTGTACTGCCTTTTGCCCTTGAAATAACATTTACAAAGTAAACAGATAATGCATATTTCACTGCAAACTTACATTCAAGAACAGATATTAATGCCCTGCACTGCTTGTTAATAATATTAAGAGTCAGGTGCCATGGTTCCTTGAAGCTAATTTCAGCAGGGCTAAATACATTAATAACATCTCAGGTTATTGGCGTTTATTTTTAATCCTATTTCCTTTTGGATATGTGAGCATAGTTCCCACTTTTCTCAGAATATCTTGTGCATTATTTGAATGTTGAGAAATGACAACTGAATTACATCATGTGACTGTGTTAAGTACCTGTAAGTAGAAACAACAGTTTCATATGATCTTTCACTTTGAAAACTAACAAATATTTCCTTGGAAAGGTGATCAGATCTCCTTAGTGCAATGTTACTAATCAAAATTATAAACGTGGGTGTTTATGAAAAGTAAGGCTTAAATAGAATAGCTATGGATATGGCTTTGTTCCTCACTATGCAAGCTGAAACAGTGTGCTCACTGAAATACCTTACAAATGCCCTAGAGAGCATGAGTCAAACCTGTCATGTTTGCTTTCTTGTTACTTCATGTCGGACAGAGGGGCAATTAATGAGAAAGTATGAAATATATTTAATGCATGTTCTTGTTTTAGTTGTTATGTTTATTTGGTTTTTTCTTTTTTTTTTTTTTTTTTAGTAAAATGTCCTAATGTTTTTCTTCACTAGATACATTTACTTATTTCTTCTGTTCAACCGTACTGGGATATTTTAACTGTGCTTTCTTCTAGACCACAACTCCCCTAAAGTTCTGACACAACTGGGACCTGTTCCTTCCACCACCTCCTGTAGTGGTGTTGTTTTTTAAAGCTCTGTATTTCCTCTCCATTTCATATTTTCTTGATGGACATGCATGTTCAGCTGCATAGGCTTTTTCAAGGCTGAGTAACTATACAGACAGAAGAAAAATTTCAGTAGCCAAACTTTATGAATTACTTTCTGATTAAAAGTTTTTAAATGAAGTTGGGGAAAAAAAACAGTATTTAATTCTTCCATGTAATCACCAAACACTTGCAGAAAGTTTTTTGGACACTAGGTGACAGTGGAAGACAGTAATTGCAAACAGGGTTTTGAAGTAGAACATAACTGGAAACACAGATTCAGTTAAGGTTACGTGTTACGATCATTGATACACCCTTAGTGTTATTTCTGGAATTAGATATTTTGCATGAACAAGGGAATATTATTGATCTTGTCAGTTTGGCTTAATTTTCTTCTAGTTTTAGTATTTAGAATGTTAATACCCCAATTTTCTTTCCTTTTTCAGAACGTTCTGTGGTGTTTAATTCAAAGACTGATGGGATTTCTGGTTTTCGGGTACAGCTAAAAGCCAAACTTGCACAACAGAATGATGATGGGATCACTGTAATAGAAGGGCAGGACCCATACTCCACTTTCAGTCCCTATTAGACTTGAAAGAAGAGGTTGAGCACAGAAAAAAGTATCTATATGGGTATTAAATAAACATTATTTTTATCCCTCATTACTGTATCTTGATAAGACCAGAGATTTTTGCTTATGGGTATTTCTGAAAATCAGCTTCTGGGTAAAGTGAGCCTGTGCTCTGGCTCATGATTATTTTAAAACTAGATGTCTAGCTCTGTGAAATGATCCTGTATCTGGAATCTTAAATGTAGGTCTACATCAGTTCCTGGTAAGGTACGATCCAGTCATTTCCAATTTCTCTTTTCCTGCATCCAGCTCACAGCCAGACCTAAAAGAGTTAGATAAATGTAGTCTACTCTGATAAAAGATCTGCTTTTGAATTCTTTATCTGTGGATCTTCAGGTCTAAAAAAATGTTCCACTGTGTATCTAAGGAAATAAAACAAAATTTTGCATCACTGACGGCCTCACCATTAAGGACTTTGAAAACTAGGTTAAAACGTGTTTTATCTATGAATTCACATGCAGCGAAGCTCTGAAGTCTGAAAAATCATTTGTCTGAATTATTCTTGCCATTGCTATTCCTGCTATCAACAATAAATCAAGTGTAATAATAGTTGACTAAAAGTACACTTTTTAATGAGCATCTCTGGAAGAAGCAAAATAAAGACAGTAGTTGAAAATACAGCAGAGGCAACAAACTGGCAACATACTTGTGTTTCAAAAGAAAGCAGAAAGAGTAATAGGGCAGATATAAAAGAATTATATTGTTCACAATAAAAATTGAAAAGTTACATGAATCTGTAGGAATGGGACTCGGGACACTGTATTTTAGATGGATGAGGTAGCCTCCCAGAACCTTAATTTAAACATCATGATGCCTTCTGGCATTGGAGACAATATGTTTTGGAAAGCACAATCTTGGTTAACAGTCTTTGTTACAAGCATATAGTTGACACTGAAAAAAAAAAGAACCTACTCCAGAGGTTTGGTCACAAAGGCTTTTCCAGGTCCCACATCAGAACACTTTCTCTGAGAGGCAGATGATGAATTTGGCCTGTAAAGGGGAAACCAGAAATACTGTTTCCTGTCTTATTAAAAAGTGATAGATTTACACCCAACATACACTACAATGCCAAATTTTTATGAAACATGGTCTAGAGCCAATGAAACGGCAGAATTACCATAGATTTCTTCAGTGAGTCTAAATCAAGAACATACGAATACAAGCATGCCCTTTTTTTAACATACCACATGGTTTAATTGGCTTCAGGATAGTGTAGTAGTATATTCGGTACAAAAGAGCAGTGTAAGTTGTCTTCATAGTACAAAGAGCTCTTCATGTCTGACAAGAAGTTCCTACTGTAATACAACAAATAATCCCAAAGTGATGGGTGAATTGCTTCATTACTGTCACACTCAGGCATGGTTAGTAGTAAACTCAGATAAAAATGCTGATTTATAAATGCACCTAGAAGAAAAACTGAAGAGAGGGCTGATTATCTTAATTCAAATAAACTTTAAGGCAGAAGGAAATCTGTTAATTCAAACCAGTGCTACCCTACATTTCTCTCTCTGAAAAGGAAGTGAAACTAAATGAACACAGAGATATCTTTCCAAGCCACACACGCTTCTGAAGTCTGCGAGGAGTCCTTACAGGAGACGTCCCAGGGAATGTCAAATGTCTGGCTGTATTCAGAGGTGAGCTTGAACGAAGTTGTGGAAGGCAATGTAGGAAGGCAGAGGATTTGCACCTGTTTAGGAGCAGATTCATCCCCGCAACACTGCCAGCTGGACCTCAGCACCTACAAGCAGCAGGAAGGTAGTTTGAGAAAAAATCAGTCCCAAAATATGGGCAGTGGTGAGAAGTACACCTCCTCCACACTGCCTTAGAAATAAAACTGCTATTGCATATCCATAGTAAACAAATATTTTCTTGAAGCTGCTTGTCACTCCCCATTGCCCAATTACCTTTCTACAATCCTAGAAGAAAGCAACTCTTTTCAGTGTAGGACCCTGGTTTAGACTAAAGGTCTCAGCCTGGGGAATGAGCATGTTACTGCTCTGTGTAACGGTGAAGCATCTACACCTGCTCTCATAGCAGTAAGAATAGCAGAGGCTGAAATGCTGTTGCTCCAGGGCTACGTACAGCCACAACCACTGGCTGGACAGCAGATAATTTGTGTCAGGGATTTTTGCATGGGATTAATTGCCTTTTGCTCAAAATGTTGCTCATCAGTTTTCGACTGTAGACGTAAAGAGGGAAACCTAAAACTCTTTAACAGAGTCGTGTTTGGGGCCAAAAAAAATTCCCTGGGAAATTAAAATACAATCCAGCTGGTTTGTGTTATCATTTGGTAAAGATTCAAGTGAAGACATTCCTGACATAATGCTGTTGAAGGTGTAGAAGCAATTTAGATACAGAACAAGAAATATTTTACAGATAACGTATAAAATAATGGTAAGTGCAAAACTGTTTCTTATCCACACTTTTTAAAGCATTAATAATCTACTGATGACAGAACAGGAAACTTGCTATTGCATGGACATACATCCTTTCATTTCCACAGTTTTGTTGCTAAATAGGAAGAAATTTTTGACCTCTGATGTGTGATACAGTAGCACTGTCTCCAGTGGCATTGTTGTCTCAAATATGCATTTTCAGAGAGATTTTCATTGTCTGATTTATAAAACTGCTGCAGCCATTACTATCGAACAAATGACTGGGGAAAACATCATTTGTTCATTAATTTGGCACATCTGTGGACAGAAAACAATAATGGATTCCATAGTATGAGAAGACTGAGCTAGCATCACAACTGAACTGAATACTCTTGAAAAGTAGGAAAGTCTAAAATCATCTAATTCCATTTTCTTTTATGACTTGTTTCCCATTAAATTTCTGACAATAAGCTTGACACCTACTGGTCTATATGTGGTACTTGTTTCTTGGATTTAATGTTGACTCCTGAATGTTTTCAGAGTTAATCACTGAGTGTCCAAGATATATTATGCAGGGAAAATACAAAATACCTCTCAACAGCTGAACCCTGTTTTCGGTTCACCATTTGTGCTTGACCACAGAAATCATAAATTGTTACCATTTCTAGCAGTAGGGTATGAGAGGCAGCATCTACTGACTTCCTAATATGTGATTCTGACTGCTTTTCACTGGGGAATTACCTTACCCTTACTAACAGTTATATGAGTATGATGAAATCATCCTAACACTAAGTCAGCCTTTGCAGCACATAAAGGATTAAGAAAACATAGTGTGTTTCTCACTTTCTAAACATACATAAGTTGATAAAATAGGTTTTCAAGCTGTATATTAAAGTCAAAGATTCTTAGTAATGCACTAATGAAATAATAAAAGCTTCAGACAACACAGTTATGTTATCAGTGTATATCCACACATCTTGGTATTGATCAGTGCCAGCAGAGACTCTCTAATTGTTCTTTTAAGTGTCAATAAAAAAGAACTTGTATGCATCAAGATGCATAGTTTCACAGAAACCTTATTCTTTGACAACAGGGCAAAATGCTTTACCAAATTCTCTGTAATGCACCTTCCTGAGGATCAGTTCTGAGATACCGTTCCTGCTCTCCTCTTTTTTCTGTATCAGGTACTATTTTTAAAACTTTCAGAAGATAGAAAGATTATGACACATGGAAATATACAAGCCCCCCATTTTGATTAGTTCTTTATCTCTTATCAGCAAAGGACCCCTGGTTCTCATATTATAGAATAGCCACCAAATGAACATCTTGGAGCTGACATGTTGGTGAAACTTCTTGAAACACTAGCGTGAAATCCTTAGTACAATTAGTGGGGATTAACCACTTGTTTCAATAAGGTCAGGATTACATCTTATGAACACCTATATCCATAAATAATAGCATAACGCAGTACAATAGTGCCTGCAGCATAGCATTAAAAATGTAGAAGATGCACAAAACCCTTCAACTCTGAGACAAACTAATTGTAAGCCTAGTGCATGGTTTGCCAATAGGGCATGCCTGGAGAGATGATATCGATGTTCAAGGAAGTATCACTAAATGGAACAAGCTTCAGCCCTGCAATTTGTACATTTATCTGATAAATCACCACTGCCAAAATGTGTCACTGGACAATGAGTGGCAAAAAGTAGTCAGATTGTGGTAGCTCTAATATTGCATTAGGTAAAAGCAACGTTTAATCCATTTTCAGCAGTTCTAAGAAGGCATTCATTGACCTTATCAGAGTCACTAAACGTAGCCATTTATTACTTTTTGGGGGAAAGAACAGACATCCTCTCTGCTTAACTTGAGCTTATAATCACAGTAATTTAGGTTAGAAGGAACTTCTGGCATCCAACCCACTTTCACCTACCCAGCCTAACTTGCAGGGCCAACTTCAATGTTGGATAAGGTAGCTCCTTATGTATGAGCCTTGTCCAGTCAACTTTCAGGTATCTGCAAGGATGGAGATTTCACAGCATCTTTGGACAACATGTTCCAGTGCTTAGCCAATCTCATTTTGTTTGGTTGGTTTTTTTTCTTTAAAGCTGTCAGAATTTCCCCTGGCACATCTTGTGGCTGTTGCCTGTCATCCTATACACTTCACAGAGAAGCTGGAGTGAGAGTCTTCTATAGCCTGCACTTAGCTGAAGACTACAGTTACGCTCCCTCACCTTTAGTCTTCTCTTCTCCAGGCTGGAATAAACCATCTTCTTTAGCCTCTCCTCATATATTATGCTATAGCACCCTAACAATCTTAGAACCTTTCTGCTGAATTTCCTCCAGGTTCTCAATCTCTCTTTGTACTGGGAAGGAAGGAGACACAAAAGAGGACATAGTAGGTCCGATTTACCCCCACAAATGCAGACTAGAAAGGAATAGTCACTTCTCTTGACTTCCTGACACACTCTTGTTAACACAGCCATATCATCACTCTAGGGGCACGCTGAAGCCTCACATAACTTGCTGTCTACCAGCATCCCAGGATGTTTTCTGCAGGGCTGATCCCCAGTTGGCCAGAGCCCAGCCTCTACTGTTGCCTGGGATTATTTTTTCCCAGGCACTGGGCTTCCCCTTTATCTTTCCTAAGCTTCCTGGGGTTTCTTCCAGGAAATCCATTCCTCTTGCCTGTCAAAGCCCCTCTGACAGGCAGCCCTTTCTGCCAGTATGTTGACTACTCTCCCCAATTCGGTGCCACCCAAAAGCTTGCTGAGGGTGCACTGTATGCATCCCATCATTCAGGTCATAAATGGAGATTTTAAACACTGTCTGCTCCAGAATTTATTACTGGGAATAGTGCTTGGCACTAGGCATGGCCAGGCTGTAAACTGTGAACTCTGCTTTGAGCCTGCAAGTCCTGTCAGTTTTCCACTGGCCTTAACACACACCTATCCAAACCCTCCCCCTCAAGTTTGTCTGTAAGGATGCCGTGGCAGATAGTGGTGAAGGCCTGGCTAAAGTCAGGTTAAACAAACTTGAATGTTTGTCCCCTTGGTCACAGAAACAGTCACTTCTCCATGGAAGTGAAGAAGGTTAGCCAGCTGCCTTGACAAAGACTCACTGCCTGCTCCTGGTCATCCGCTTGCCCAGCATATGCTGGGAAATGGCTTCTAGTCAGATCTGCCCAAAAAATTCTCCCAGGGGCTGAAGTGAGGCTGACCAGCCTACACCCGTCACCTTGCACTTTTTGAAGGCTGGCACGATATTAATCTTCCCACCTCTTTGTAATCTCCTTTCTGGTTCACTTTCAAAAGATGCTATTATTTTACAGACACTTTGCTGCTTCTGTAGTATCTGCCATCTGAAAATTTATATTCTTTCAGTACCGTGTAACCTGCATAACACTTCTTGGTAACAAATGGACAAACTAAGAAAATAGACTTGATCTCCAGCCCTCCTCTGTTCTCAGAGGAAGGCTTTAATTGTTGTTCATGTCTGTGATGACAAGAGTTTATAGAGCTACTACTCTGAATGATCTAAAAAAAATCCTAAGTAAAATAATGTCTAAGCACATATGACATGAATTGCATCAAAGAATAACACTTTTATTGGGAACTGCACATCCTTTACTAGATAGCAATAATAAAGCCCAATATTTGATTAAGAAATAAGATAATTAAAAATTATTGCATTTGTTTAAGTAAATCAGCCCTAATTGACATCCAGAAATACTATCGCATTCTTGTACTGACAGTTTATCAAATAATTTCCTGGGTGATGTAAGAGCAGAGAATTTTGCAAGAGCAAATCAGACTTTTCTCCAGATTATGTATAAAAATACTCTAATTTTAATCTCAGTGTCTTGACAGGTTGTGAAAATCAATGAAAGTAGGGAGTTTGGTTACAGAACACTTGCATTGTGTTTGCTAGATTTCATAAATACAGCATACTTCTCATGAGCACAGAAATTGTGCTATTAAAATGAAAACTTACAGTTTCAGAGTTACAGCTGAACACATTTCTTACCACTTGCTTCATAGTTCAGCAAATGTGTTAATGCAGACTTCAGGAGCTGTGGATTGTCTTGTAAAAGCTCTGTTTGAGCCAAGGGAGCTGCCTGTGTTTTAGCTTGTAAAACCTTTACATGTACCAAGCCAGCTGCTCAGCAATGAGACTACACCATCAGCTGAGCTGGTATAGCAACCACAAGTGGTTGTTAACCTGACTAACCTTCCAATCAAACAGCAGCACCTTGGAAAAGACCAACTAGCACATGAAAACCCTCCTGTGAAAGTGGTATCAGGCAGATAGACCCACTAAAGCCCATAGCTAACTCTTTCCAAATTACTGCCTGCATGGAAGCACCTAAAGCTATCCTGCAAGTTCAAAAGCAGCCATATCATGACAAATTAAAAAGTTGAACTGGAGCTGTGACAACTGACTATCTTCATTTTTCATCCCTGAGTATAAAATCCATTTAGAAGCATGTTTTTCCTCCTCTCCAGATATTCACCCTGCCACTAGGAAAGGTGAATGAAGCTCAGATCAGTGGAAAGTAACTTCTTAGCATTGAAATTCATGCCCAAATTGGTGTAGAGATGTCAAAATAGGGAACAGCTGAGAAATAGTTGTCTAAAAAGATTTCATCTTCCCGTGTATATAATTTTGGGAAATAGATTGGATACAGACAGAGAAAAGTTATTAAAATGGGAAAATTACTTTAAAAACACCTCTTTCTCTGTTCTTTTTAAACAATAGCTAAAATAATTTGGATAGCTTCTTGTTTCAACCTCCTAAATGGATTTATTTAAAGATATTAATACTAAAAAAACCTGAAAACTCTAATCATACTCCTTCAAATTCCAGCACTAAAGAAATGCTTGGAAAAAGCATTTTCAAACCTGTTATTTCTTTAAAAAAATGCAACACTTTAAATGGGAGAGAATTTTTGAGAAATAAGGGGAATATACTGTAGTAACATAGAGCTTGCAGAAAGGAGCACAGACAGAAGGAGAGATAAATGTGGAAAAAGCAGAGGAGAGTTACTCTGTACAGTGATGGCTGGAACATAAACAAAATACATAGTACATTTGCAAATCTTCACTGAAGACAGATTTATGGCTACATCCATTTCGTATGAGCAAATCAGACCTCTTTCCCTCAAAACTAATTGCTCAGTCAAAATCAGTTAAATATCTCTGGTCCTACTCCTGTATACATCTGATTCAATAGTTATAAAACTGACTATTTACCTAAATTTAAATTTTACAGTAGAAAGCCAGTTGAATTACTTTTTTGAGTTACAAAAGACTACTGAAAAGAGAACCTTATCCACTTCCAAGAGGAACAAATTATCACAGTGGAAGTATTTAAGGGTTTCTCTGAGTAACACTTTTTACATTTTTTAGTAAGAAATACATCTTCATAACAATAAGATATACTGCATGATATTAGTGAGGCATTCACATGTGTTCTCAGTGTCTGGTGAATATGTCTGGTGAGTGTTTTATGCAGGCTTGAGAGGATCTTAGAGCTGCAAGTTAGTGTGAGCAAAAAGAAATTGTCTTGGCTTCTTTATCCTTCTTTTACTTAGTGCCAGGAGCTTCCTGGTATTTTGAAATGTGCAGCCTTCAGGACATTTCAATAACCATATGAAGCAGCAGAAAAAATGAAACTTGGAGAAAAGCTGAGGAAATTAAAACAAAGGAAAACTACTGTTTTAATCAAGAGAAAACCATAGTATTATGAATTACTCATAAGATTAGTACATGTTTCTGGAAAGTTAAGATGTGACAATATCTGCTCAACCATAATCTTTGCACAAAAATATGTTTAGGAGAGAAGCCAGCATGAACCAATATTAACATTCATTTTATCATATATACCATTTAGGAAACTTTGTTCAGCAACAGATACATGAAGCGTGGGAAGAAATGAGTGAGGGAACAGGGACCTGAGAAATTTTTGGTAATTTTGTTGAATGTTTTATGTGCATTTGATTCCCAGATGCTTGGAATGGAAATGCAGGATTATGAGAGGATCATGTTAGCTGTCTGCTTCTGCCAGGGTGATAAGTGATGAAGCAACGTGAAGTATGAACTTTAACATCTTTAGATTTCAAAGCTGATATTTCATTAAAATTAATTGACAGTTCACATCTCTCAGCAGGATTAGTTCAGAAAGGTAAAGCAGACTTACAACCATTTCTACCCGGCTCATCATGACAAAGGAAAAACATTTGTTTATACTCACATTTCTTTGAACAGCCACATCAGCTACTGCTCCAGAGTCATTTCTTCAGTTGCACTACTACAATTTTTTGTGGAGCTGTGGTAGAAAAGGAACAGGGACAAGTTAAAAATAGCCTTTTTTCAGTGCTAGTTTAATTTTCAGTCATGAATTTCCCCTTCCAGCTGATTGCATATATAAGACAGTAGGACGGGAGCAAGGATCGGGGCTGGAAGGAGCTTACACTTTCATTGAAAAAAACATGCTGATAACTGTACTTGGAGGTGTTACAACCCAGACTGGGAGCCCAGGGAGTCATAAAGGTTCTGTGATCCCCTCAGGTTAAATTAAGCTGAAACAACACCAAACGACTGGTTAAAATGTTTTACTTGTCATAGAAACGACTCAGACTTGGAAAAGGATAGTAAGCAATGTGGTCTCTTATTGATAAACCTATAAGAAAGAAAAGGAAAGGAAAGAGAGTCAAAGTATCTGGATCAGATACCTCAGGTTCCAGCATTGTCTCGGGTCCCGTAATCTTGGTTGGTGCATGCACACACAGCAAAGTTTTCTGTCATCTTTTAAGTTCATCTGATCAGCATACTAGACAAAGAGAGGCTGGTATTCCATGAATTTATTTCCATGAGAGACAAGGAAAAGCTGGAGCATGGATTCTGCACATGCATTAAGGGGGAATGGGGTGCACCAACCTCCTCAACCAATTGAGTCTGTGGTTGTGCTTACTCCGCCCCCTGCCCTTTATTTTTTCCTCAGTTTTTGCTTAGGTCCATCTGGTGCTCATTATCTATCTCTGTCCTGGGTTTGAGTGAGTTGTGGAGTTTTTTGGTAGCAGTGGAGCGGGCTACAGTGGTGGCCTCCTGTAAGAAGGTTCTCAAAGCTCCCCTGGCTCCAAATTGGACAAACATCTGCACCGAGACCGAGACAATCAGCTGCACCTCTGCGATAACGTATTTAAGAAGGGGCGTGGTGACGAGCAGTGGGACTTGTGAGGAGGAGTTGCTGCAGCTGTGTGAACACCAAGGTCAGTGGAGGAACTAATGAAGAAAGGAGGGGGGAGGTGAGACCCCCCTGTATCCTGTGGTGAGATGGCAGGGTGGCCCCCCCCCCCCGCCACCCATGGAGGTCTATGGTGAAACAGACGCTGATTTATGGCCTGGGAGGGGCCTCAAATGGGCCACTAAGGTGTCTACACCCGAAGGAGGCCGGGATCCTGTGGGAAGAAGCAGCCCCTGCTGTTGTAGTTTGGCACTGAGAGGATTGCAGCATGTGGGGGTGTCCCATGCCAGAGCATCTCGGGAAGGGCTGCAGCCCGTGGGAGGGACTCACATTGGAGAGGATTTGTGGAGAACTGTCTCCTGTGAGAGGGGGACCATGATAGAGCAGGGGGAGAAGTTCCAGAAGCTCCCCCCCACCGAAGATGGAAGAAGCAGCAGCACTGACTGCACCCCTCAAACCCTGCCCACTGTGCTGCTGAGGGGAGGAAGTAGAGATATCGGGAGCAGAGCTGAGCCTGAGAAGAAGGGAGGGGTGGGGGAAGGTGTTATCAAGATGTGGCAATGCTCCTCACTATCCTACTCTGTTAAGTGTTGTTGTTAGTGTCTATAATAAATCTATGTTCTTTTTTTCCTTCCCCTAACGAATCTGCCATTTGTTGGTGACCATAACGGGCGATTTATCCCTCCCTGTCCTATCTTGAAACCCAAGTCTGGCTTATTTTCTCCTCTGCACTGGGGGAGAAGGGGAGGTGAGTGGCTGCATGGCGCTCAGATGCCTGCTGAGCTCAGACCACCGAGCATTTTGTTTATTTTCTTCTTCTCAGCACTGTGGGGGAATGGGGGAGTGAGTGGCTGCGTGGTGCTCAGTTGCCCTCTGAGCTCAAACCACAACAATCTCTTATTGTTTTTTTAACATGAACATATGGTTTCACTTGGTCCATGTTTCCCTCTTTGAGGCTTATCTAAGGAGTTTGGCAATACAACTGCAAGGGAGTGGTGACATGCATCCTTTGATACACTCCATGCTTCCTTGGGCACCGTTCCTTAGACTAATCACAAAGGCCACAGCTTGCCCTTGAGGTTTTCTGTGTTGATGAATGTTTGAGGCATTAATTCCTTCAGCTCCTTACAGGAGGTTAGAGCACAATTTGGCATCTGGAACGTGCAAGGCATGGGAAGTCATGGATTCAAACACAGCTCCAATTCTTGTACTTGGGAATCTAATGACAGTGTTTTCAATCTGCTAATTTTTTCCATTAGTATTTTTCGCCTTTTAAGGTCTGGCTATGCAACTTGACCAAGTTATTTACCTTCTCAGAATGTGACAAAGGAGAAATGTGGAGGAAACAGTGACTGGGTTTGTAGGTGACTGAAAGAAAGGAAATCCTATTCCACAGAAAATTCAAAAAAACCCCACCTTTACTTTCATTCCACATCAAATCCTCCCTTAGCTCAACCATAGGGAAAGGCTGGGGGAGCTTTGTTATATACTTGGCAAGCTGAGATAAGTTGTTCTCTTTGGAGACCAAAAGTATGACTGAACAATTTTAATGAAATACAACAGCAGTTGACCTGGACATATTGATTAATATTGATAAAATATAAAATTGAGAACATATTTTGAGTCAATACAGTGCAACATTCATGTCATTTCTGCAGAGAAATCCCATTGAAATACTTCTTTTCCCGTTAAAATTTTTTCAAAGGAAACTTTATCATTAAGGAAGAAAAGAGACTATTAAGAGAAGAAATTAGCAGAGAACTTATGGTAGAGAACTGAAATTCTCTCTGTTCTTGTTAGAAGATCAGGATAGAGCAATACATTAGGGTTTTTTAAATGTCTTTCAAAATGCATAAATAAAAAGTTCACACATACTCTCTTCCACCTACTTTAGGTATCTAAAGCATCACCAAGGTGGTTTTGGTTTTAAACTACTTTGCTTATAAATTCTAGAAGAAAGAAACATCATGTTGCATTCAATCCAAAAATCATTCAACATTTTAAGCATTTTGCCTTTCAGCATCTGGCAAAGAGCAAAGCAAAGACCCAGATATCACTGGGGACAAAACATATTCTCTACTTTGGCATCCAACAATCCTGTCAAAGCCAAATGTGCTCCCAGACAGGCTAACGGCTGTTCCTACTTGCTTGAAGTGCCAAAACTGGTGTTTGGCGAACGATGTTAGAAAATGAAAAATTAATCAGTACACATTAGTTTTCTTCATAGCTATCTGTTAGTAGAAACTGTGTGATATCAAATGGCAGACACCTGCGCTAAATATTTTGTTTTGTTAAGTTCTTTTAACGTTTCTGGTAAGCATTGAGTTAAGGCCCAGTTCCTCTTACAGAAGTGTACAGTGGTAAAGGGAAAGACTGGAGGTGTTACTCACGCTTTCCCCTCCATGCGTTAGCCCACAGAATATCCAATTTTCAATATCCCTTTTTACAGTACAGACCTGAATGCAAGTCCTATAGCAGTACCAAAGACTAAAGTCAGAGAAAAGTGTATATCTTACAGGGAACATCTCAGAGTAGTTAAGGTTTCTGCCTCAAAATCACACTGCAGCTAGCATATATCAATTATTGATTGTTCCCTCATCCTACCCTCAAGCACTGTGGATAGCAGGTGTGATGTATGTCTTGTTTTGTAGGACAAAATATTTTGTTGTCCTTTGCATTATAAAGAAAACATACGTAATACTATTCATTATATTACAGAAGGCAAAGTTAAATAAACCCATCTTGTCATTGAAAAGTGAGTGGTTAGATCTATGATGGTAGCTAGCTCCAAGTAAGTTTCCTTCACAATCTGCTTCTTAAAAACTAATCCAATTATAACCTAACCCTGTCATGGTTAGTAACTCTTGCTTTCTTATCTGGTTAGTTGATAAGTCAGAAGTCATACATTCAAAATTCCTTAACTTGTCTTAGCAATTTTCTTCAGCGTTTTATTACTAACCCCTTTTTCATTTAAAAACCTGCTAAAGGTATCTATTCTGGAGTCTGGCAATGTCTCCTGACATTATTAAAGAAATATGTAAAAAGACATTGTCGTGGGTTGACTCCGGCCAGCAGTCAAGCACCCCCACAGCTGCTTGCTTACTCCCCCTCTCCCCCAGCAAAACAGGCGACAGAATAGGAGGAGAAAAAGTGAGAAAACTCCTGGGTTGAGTTAAAGACAGCTTAATAAGTGAAGGAAAGAGAAGAAAACAAGTGATGCGAAGGTAGCTACCGCCTCAAGCAGACAGAGTCCCAGCTAGTATCTAGCCCCAAATCCCCACACCCTTTTTACTCTACCCCAGTTTTTATTATTTAGCATCATGATATATGGTATGGACCATCCCTTTGGCCAGTTGGGGTCAGCTGTCCTGGCTATGCCCCCCCCATCTTTTCGCTCATCCCCAGCCTGCTCATTGCAGGGTGGGAAAAAGAGAAAGCCTTGATGCTGTGCAAGTACTGCTCAACAACAGCCGAAATATTAGTGCGTTTTCAACACTTTTCTAGCCACAAACCCACAACACAGTACCATACGGGCTGCTATGAAGGAAGTTAACTTCATCCCAGCCAGACCCAGTATGGGCGCTTTTCTGTGTGTGTGTAATGACGACAGCCTTTGACAACTCCTCTTTGACACTGTTGATGAAGAGAAGAAAAAGATGAAGAATCAGCTCTTACTGACAGCTCAGGGCCTCACGCTGAAGAACCCTGCACTTTTGAGCCTAAAGACTGCACACCCTATCCCGCTCCACCTACACAGTGAAATTTGCTGTCATTAGATCTGCAGCAGACAGGTCTGCTGCGAGGTCAGGAAAGACTTCTACTCATATGGCATCAGATCCATCTGCTAACGGAGCTCTTTTTAAGGATTATTTGCTGCCTGGAGCAACGAGTAGTGTCTATCGTGGATCAAGCCCGGGCTGAGAACCCGGACCAACACAAGGAACAAATAGATGGCTTCTGGCCCTTCATGCTTTCAGTTTCTGCAGAAATCAAGACACAGGTCAGGGAAAGAGCAAGACACATATTCATTTGAATACATTCAAATGCATTCACTGTGAATACATTTTGCTTCCTATTTGCTC